CCCATCTCCCAAATTATTTCTCGTTCCTTTTTGCCTCTCTGCTCCACCGTCCGTCGTCCTACCTCGTCTTTCCTCCTTGTTCGAAAAGTGACGTCCCTGGTGCCGCGTGCCCGTATCAGCGGTATATCGCCTCTTCGATATCCGAGCACAGCGGCGCCACCAAACAGAGGGGATTGCCAATGCGAGCGTTCGGGGCGCACTCCAAACGCGGGCGGCACGGCCGCCGAGCACAGTCGCATCGTTAACATGTAAATTATAAGTGCCTGCGGCAATGTCCACCCCTTTGCCAGTGCAGCGGTCTGTATGGCGACGCGTGGAGCTTTGACTGTTAAGAGGTCCATGACATGTGACACCTCTCATGTTTTCGGATTGCTGTGCGGCCTTCTGTGGGGTCCTTCGGGGCCTTTGGGGGACGTTTCCTGGCCGTTAGGGAAGCGTGTATTTGCAGCTCCCTCGGGGGCGCCCTGGGCTGGAGAAGTTTGTATTTGCATCCCCCCTAGCTGGGCATGTCGACCTCGGTCCTGGGTTGGCGAAGTCGGGGCACACTCGAGGTGGCGAGCTTTTACGTTTTCGAAATACACAGATCAAGGTGTGATCTGTGTATACAACTTGTGTCTTGAACTGTGTATTTTCGTGTGTGGGCCTACTGTGTACACAGATCGTGGTGTGACCTGTGTACACAGATTCCGTTCCCATTTGTGTACTTAGGGTGTGCCCCTCGCGCTGGTGTTGATTGGGCGGGAACTTTCATGTTTCTCTCTCGGCTGGTCCAGGATGGGCGTCGTACGCGGTCGAAATACACAGCTCGTGTCTCCAACTGTGCATTTGTTGCGCGCCGCTTGGTGGAGTGGTCACTGGGCGGGAGTTTCCTCGGGTCTCCAGGCTGGTCCAGGACGGGGCCGTGGTCTGGGAGTGCACAGGCGTGGGGGGGGTGGGGATGGTGGGCCGTGGGAAGGAGGGGGTTCGATAGGAGGGGTGGCCAAGTGGCCAGGGATGAACGGGACTGGACGAGAGGGGGGGATATTGGCCCAGGAGGAGCTGCATCATCGGTGACAGCATCAAGAGGACAAGGGAGGCGGGGGGGGGGCAGAAGGAGGGGGCATGGTCTGCACAAGGGCGTAGAGGATGGGAGGAAGGCAGGCATGTGGACGATGGGGGAACTCATCCGGCGGAGGAGGACGACGAGGAACGATATGAATTGGCACAGGGGGGGCCAATGTGGGTAAGGGGCATGATGAGGACTGGGGGTATTCGGAGGGGCATGAGGAGGGCGGGGCCAAAGCGAACGGATATTGGGAGGAGGCGGGGGATGAGGCATGAGTTCGAGGCGGGCGCCAGCTAACGATTAGCTGAACAGTGTTTTGCGTGTCCTTGCACCACCCAGAACACAGTGACCGGTGGCAAAACTTCATTATATAGGTAATCGTGTGCCTCGTGCTCCCAGGCTACAGGCTCGAGTCCACGACGACCCTTGGCGTCGCGTTGATGCCGCCCCGATTTGCCAAACCACCTATCCACAGATAGGCGTAATCAGTGTTTCAATTTTGTTTCGTGACCCTCCCCACAGGAACATACCCATGTTGGAATCCAACAGGAGGCGCAGGGCCGACGAACATGAGGAATAAACTGACAATTGACGTGCCGAGGAGGAGGAGGTCCATGATGAACCCACGATGCGTCAACGATGCCGCAATACGCCGCCCTGTCGCATGTGCCGTCCTCAGAAGTCCCTGCAAGAATGCCGACTTCCTTTTCACTGCGGGAAGTGCCAGCATTGGGAAGACGAGCGCCCCGTGGTCGTGCAATTCAGGCGAGAGCCCCGTGTTGAAAAGGAGCTGCCGTCAATGCTTTGAGCTGGAGGGACGGCGACTCGGCAGGATCAGGCAGTTCGTGGAAGTGTCCAGCGAGAGCCCCGCTCTGGCAAACGAGCCGCCGGCAATTCGCACATGTGCTGCGCACTTTCAAAAAGTCCTCGACATCACGCCCAAGGACGTCTCAAGCGAGAGCCCCGATTTGGAAAAGGAGCCACAGTCCATCCTTGTACGTAGTTGTTGGAGATTGTGAGTCGCTGTTGTGAAGTGTTTAAGACGGACGTGCCCGGCGCTGATGCGAGAACCGTAATTTGAGAATGGCTAGTGATCCGTCCGTGAAGCTGTTTGAAGTTTTCAGAACGAATGTGTGTGGTGTTAGGGCGAGAACCACATTGTGAACATGATCGCCAACCTGGACCCAAAGCAGTGATATCTTGCAATATATGTTGTACAATCTAGGCGGTGCAACCCGTGTAGCGTAATCTGTGTGGCGCAGAGCAATGCGCCGCAACACCGTAAAACAATGCGACGCAATGTGAGACAACGCGACGCAATACAAAGCATCGCGAAGCAACGCAAAGCAATGCAACGCACTGGAAAGCAATGCGAAGCAATGCCAAGGAATGCACACTAATTCAACGCAATTCAACGCAACGCAATGCGACAACATACAAGGCAAGCCAACGCAATGACATGCAATGGAATGCAATGCGATGCAATGCTATGCAAAGTAACGCCAAACAATGCAAAGCAATGTAAAGACATGCAAAGCCATGCAAAGCCATGCACAGCTATGCAAAGCAATGCATAGCAATGCAATGCAATGCAACGCAATGTTTGAGCGGGGGGGGTGCAACGGAGCGGCGGCGACGAGTGGGAACAAGCCGCCGGGGCCGTGAGCGGATCTTTTATTGGGAAATCCAGTGCGGCGACGGACGGGAACGGGGCCGCCGGCGGCCCGCTTCCTTAGAAACGAAGTAAGATCTCCATAAGAACAAGCACTCTTGGGGGATCTAGCTCCACCCGTATACGTGTTGGGGGGTTCACGGCGAATGAACTCGGCGCGAAGGCGAGGGCCACATGTGAGAACGAGTGCTCCTTCGGCTGAAGGCGAGGCGCTCAAGCGACAGCCACATTTTGAAAACCGCTCACTCCATTCGTGCAGTTGTTGGAAATTTCAAACATCGGGGTCATACACGGAGAGGAGATCTCAGGCGAAACGCCCGGCCTGCCCTACCGACACGTTTGGTGGTCAGACGGGGAGGTGCTATCTATAAAGCAACGGGCGGGAGGATTTAAAGTCATATAGTTTTTGGGTGCTTTAGCCTCGTTAGTTGGGCCGAGAGCGTTCATCGTGGTTGACACGTAAGGTTAGGGCAATTATTGGGTAACGCGCGGGAGTGCCCTGAGGGCTTCCCAGTAATGCCGGTGGCTTGGTCCACGTAGCACGCTCTGTCAATAGTGCGGCAGTGCGGCTTGGACTAGGACCGAGTGCCCTCTTGGGCATTGTGCTAATGGAGGAACGCGCAGCCCTCTATTAGGCTCAAGCCAGTCCGTTGAAATGACCGGCAATGCCTGAGGTTTTCTTGGGGGACCCTAGAGCGGGTGGAGGTGGGCAGCTGAGTTTTTTCCTTGCCTCCCGCTGGGCTTGCGAATTCAGTAAGCTCGTGCCGTTCAGGGGGAAGACGCGCCCGTAACGGCAGGATGATCGACTCTGGGCCATTTGGGCAGACCAAATCACTCGCATCATCTTCGCACGCACGGAAGCGTACAAGAGAGAAGAATGTTTCCCCGTTTCATTTGCGCCATGTCTTTCCATCCGTCGACCTCCTATCATTATCCTTCATTGATGAGGCAGGCCCCCGGGCGGCGCACTGTCGGGCGTGAGTGACGGGTGGCTCGCGCCGGAGTGCATTGTCCTTGCGAGCGGCCCCAGGGGTGGACGTGCTCCCGGACGGCCCCGTAATATGGCGCATTGCCGGGCATGAGGGCTCGCCATTGTCCGGTGTTCCGGCGAGCGGCCCCGTGATAGGGCATGCTCTCAAACGGCCTCATGATGGGAGGCTTGATGAGGATGAGTAGGGGGAGGGGGAGAGGGAGGGGGAGGGCGAGGGGATTGTGTGCGGCTGGTGGATGCTATGTGGGAAGAGACGGAGGAGGAGGAGGAGGAGGAGGAGGAGGAGGAGGAGGAGGAGGAGGAGGAGGAGGAGGAGGAGGAGGAGGAGGAGGAGGGGGAGGGGGAGGGGGAGGCGCAGGGGGAGGGCAAGGAGGATGGGGAGGAGGAGGAGGAGGAGCAGGAGGAGGAGGAGGAGCAGGAGGAGGAAGAAGAAGAGGAGGAGGAGGCCGCATGGGCGGGGGAGAGGAAAAGAAGCGTGAGAACGAGGAATGTGAGAAAGCTACATGAGAAACGTTGATTTCTTCGTTTTGCTGCTGCTGCTGATGCTCCTCCTGCTCGGTCCCGCTTCCGCTCCTGTGCGTGCTGTTGCTGTTTCTGCTCGCGATCCTTTGCCCAGGGTTTTGAATGGGGTCATCGAGAGACTACTGGTGTCTTCGGAGCGGGTGCGAAGGCCTCCAGACGAGCCTAGGATTCCCTGGGAGGCACTGCGAGGCAACATGCACTAATGACACGTTGTATCTAAATCCTTGTTGCATTCCACCAAATTCGTCTTTCGATCCTTGGATGCTGAAGCGGGTTGGCCTAGAGGCCCCCCGATGGCCCTACTGCGGCCCCCGCGATCCTGTGCAAGGCACCGTTGACAGGGGTTTTGCTCAATAGGGCCCAGCAGTCTGCTGGCCGCTGGTCACGCAGGCGCTTCTGACGGCGGAGGCGACCGCGGTGCCATGAGTGACCACAGGCTCAGGAACGGGGCCTTCCTGGCCGCACGGGAGGCGGAGATGAACGAGGCCAACGGGCCACGGATCAGCTACGCTTCCTGAGCCGGCAGCTGGTGCGCTCCGTTCCCCTAGACCCATTGACCGATTTTATTCGCTGCTGGCGAGGGGAAGCTCTCAGCCGCGTTCTCCTGTCACCAGGCGCCCACGCCATTCTCACACGCCGAGGGTAGTGGCAACTAGCATGCGCTTGGCGGCAGATGAAGTTGGCGTCCTTGGAATTTGCCAGAGAAAGTTCCATTGCATCGACGTCACTGCGGTGAAAAGTGAGCGAGCATCCAGGACGCGCTGGCCTCTATGGAGACCTACTCCTCCTCGCTGGACGTGAACGAGTTCGCCCTCACCGTGCTCCAGGCCCAGTGGCGGGGAGGGCAGAGGAGCCTCCATTCCTCGGTCCTGTCTCCCTTGCTCCTCTCTGTCTCCTAATGCTTTCACCTCCCGAGTTCTCCTCGGTCTGCGAGCATGTCCAGAAGTAGGTCTAGCCCCAGGGACGGGACATTATTCGGGATCCCTTCGATAGCAGAACGTCCGGTCCCTAATCTTATGAACTCCTGCGCGTAAAGAGCGTCCCAGGTTGCCGTCAAAGCGATCCATGGGGTCGGCCGTTGCCTTCGATTGTCGCCGACTAGCCTCATCGCATTCGCTGGCTAGCCCTGATACCGTCGCCGTCTAGCCCCGATCCAGGGGGTAAACTGCATCGCTTTTGCCGGCTAGCCCCGTTGCCGTCGCCGATAATCCATACAGCCTTGCCTTCCAAGTCCGACCCTTTCAGCACAACTGGTCATCAGATATAAGCCAGCATTATTGATGCAATACCGCTCTCTTTGTCTACTAGGGCATCGGTTTGTCAGCTGCGCTGTGCAGTATGCAGCTCAGGGGTGCGGGCGATAATCGCCGAGGTTGGCCGTGACATTCGCCATTCCATGATTTATTATTCTTCTGGCATCCCTGGATTGCCTCATGCCTCGAAGATGCGGTCATGACATGGATAGCCCCAAAGCGACGTGAGAGGCTTCGCCCTCCGCTCCGCTATCTCTTCTTCATCCCATTGCCATGCTCGTCCTGTCCTTGGCGATCCTCGTATCTGATCCCTCGTCTTTCCATCTTCGCCATGTAGAAAGGGCCTCTGGAGGAAAGGCGTCCTTGAAATGTTTCGTTGCTTTCGGACTCCTCGGGCACTCCCCAAGCCCTCTCCTGGCCTTCCCTGGGCCCTGGGACTGTAAATCAACGACTCGGGATGAAGAAGCAGGCCCAGGGGAAACCCTGGGGTTCAGGACTCGTTTCCCCAGTGTTTCGTTCCTTTCACGCCGGATTCTTCGTGTTTCCATGCCTTCTCTATCCTCTAGGTTTCTGCATCCCTTACCACTTCGCGAGTATTTTGCCACGCTCATTTTGAGCGCACCCGCCAGTTCCAAGCTCGAGCTCTTCGACTCGAGTCACCTTTGCACATGCCCATCCAGCCTGTCTTCACCTTCGCTGACGTTGTGCGATGTCATGGCCTTGGGCTCGATTTAGTCGTACGGCGTCGGTTGCGAAGTGTCATGGTCTTACTTGGTTTGGGCTCTGCCCACGGGCTGCCGTGAATTGCGTCACTTGTTGCCGCGCACCTCCTGGCAACACCCGAGATTGCTGCCCCTGGATGCGGTTAGTGTTCAACTCCTCGGGCTTCTACGTCTCCCTGCTGTGCACGCCCGTGCTCTGGCACACACGTTCAAGAACGTCATGCTCTGAGCGTGCTCCGTTCCCCTTCCGCGCGCCCGCTCTCCTCCCGCCCCTGTTGTGCCCGATTCGGCCCCGCAGTGTCCTTCGGCTGCTTTCGAGCGCCGTGTGGGCCCGCGCCGTGCGACAAAACAATCAAACTGCCTTCCTTCCTGCTCTCTCCTCTCCTCCGCTCGCTCTCCACACTTTCGTCCGACGCTCCGTCATCCCTCTCGGTTATACTCCCCTCTCGCCCTGCCCTTGACGCCCGTTCCCTTCATCCCTGCTCCCCGCCTCCTGCTGCTGAGTTCTCAGTCGCCGCTCCCCCGCCATCGCCGTTCCCTCCCACCCTCCGCCCTTTCCCACCCTCCTCCTCCTCCTCCTCCTCTTCCTCCTCCTCCTGCAGCAATTTTGGCTCAAACCATTTTGGCTCAAGTAAAACATCTCTCGAGGTTGGCCCAGGTTGACCACGTTGAGTCTTCCGACCAGTGGCCCTGCCCAAGGTGGAGGTAATGTTTCTCGAACGCCGTCCACCACTATTCGCCCGCCTTCTGCCAACCCCCAGTTGCAGCAATTGGTCGCAAAGCAGTTCGGAAGCAGATGAAGGAGGATTCTCGCCGCGACAGGGGAGAGCGCGATCATCACCACCGAGACAGTTCGTCGGGAAGTGCATATCGGAGGTCATCGCCATCGCGCGGGAAGCACATGCTGACCCCCTCGCCGAGACGCAGCCGTCGCAGTTCAAGTCGCCCAAGGGGCCATATAAGTGTGCAAGGCTCCAGTCAGGGGAGCGAGGCTCCCAGATCGTCCAATGTCACGAATGAGTTACGCGCGGGGATGGGCTCCATCGAGTCAAACATCACCGCCTCGATCGATGCGTCGACGACCCAGCTGCAGTTGCAGACCACTTCGCACCAAACGGCGCTCATCCAGCTCGACACGAGGGTGCAGCACACCGCGGAGGAGTTATGGAATCACAAGTCTCAGGTCGAGCAGCTCGGAGCCCAGTTACAGCAAGTTGCCCGGGCAGCATCGTTGGCGGCTCCGTCATCCTCAAGTGCGTCTGGGTCCAGTGGGTCGCAGACACCAGGTATCAGTCAAAATCGAGGGCGTGGACAACAAGTGGGTACGAATCCATTAATGCGGTATGTTGGCACATTCCCTCGGCCAGTTCATAGGACAGTTCGGCAGGCTCATTTCAATTAAGTTCTAGCTGCTCACCCTCATCTTCTTCAGGGCGCGGAAGTCGTTTTGCATGCTGTAGCGCAGAACTACAAGATAAGTTTCGCTTCTCTTGCCTCTGCCAAACAGTTACGCGAGAACGTTTCGTCGGCCGTGCTGCAGCGGGTGGATCCTCGGAATGGTGCCAGTCATCAGCTCCGGGCACGCCAGGACCCCCCGATTGATGTTCGTGATCGCCAGAGATCCGTCCGTCGAATCTACCAGCCCATCCTTGGCCTGCTCAAGCAGCACCAGTCATGGACGTCGGAGTGCAAGCTCGGTGTCAACGGCTTCAAAGGGGAGATGATGGCGGCCACGCCCGCGGATGCATTCATAATCGTCAAGCTCACCAAACGCTCCGAGAGCACAGGGGAGTTCCAGGCTGTTCAGGAAGAGTTCAACATGCGGGGTATCTCGGCCGAACAAACCCAGCAGATCTTCAACTCTGCCCACCGCGCCGAACCGATCGGCCAGTGCCTGAAGGGATCCCCTGAGCGGCACTTTCGTCAGCAGGGCCCTGTCAGTCTTTCGCCTCAGCCGCTGCGGGAGAGCGAGCATCCCGAGGGGGATGCTTGCTCGGGTGGCAGAGGCGCGCCCGCTTGTAGTCTCGCGCAGATGGAGAGCCCAGCGCATCGCCATCGTGATGCGAGCTCGTGCGCTGAGGCTGTCGAGGGCCCTGACTGCTGCATGCTTGTAGCCTCGCGTTTTTGCAGCTCTTTCTCTCCCATCTCGCCTTGTTCTTGTTGCGGTGCCATCATCCCGTGCATCCCTGATTCGCCGCTCGGCATCTGCAGTTGGAATATTCGGGCCGTCTTGGGTTGCGTCCATCCGAACCAAGCTAGCTTCCGACGTAAACTGAATCATATGCGTTTTCTTACTCGCGAATTCCAGGTCCTCGGGGCCCAGGGGTCTCCTGGAGGGGGGGGCGACATTGTGCGTCTTCAGCGTGAGGTCCGGCCCCATCAGTTCTTTAGCAGTTTCTGTCCATTTCAAATCTTCCCCTCGTCTCCAAGCAGTTCCCGAGCATGTGGTGTTGTGCCGGAGTCAGAATTAGGGTACCTGGTCGCGTCAATTTACTGCGCCTTTTCTAGAAAGACAGGCAACCTCCAGTTCCTCAACCTCCACGTGGATCCAGAGTGGGGCATCAATGAGATTAAGGGGGTGTTCGCCAAGATCAAAAGAGCCCTCGGGGACCCTGGTAAGTGATCCACCTTCCCCTTCGGGGATTTCAACTTTATGACGTTGGGTGAATCCAGAGTGAGCGCTTCCTTGGGGCTTGAAGTTTCCTCCAGCAGTCGGTTGGCATCGCTTTTTTTCCGCCTTGTCTGCCGTGCCTTGCGGAGGCGTTGCAGGGGGGTGACGCGCGTGGGCTTCGCGGGGATGACGTGTGGCCCCATGGGCGTCTCGACCGAGTTTCTTGTCCCCTCCCCGCCCAGGAGTTGCTCGAACTCTGCCCCAACGCTGGCGCCGCTTGGCCTGCGTCTGGCATTTCGAAACCGTCTAACCACGCCCCTGTTTTCCTGAAGCTGGAACCTCGGAACCCCGAAGGGCCCGCCAGTTTCCCTGCCCTTGTTGCCCCACATAGAACGCTTCAAGAAGTTGCGCAGGAATTCCTCGTGCCTGAAGAGCAAGGCCAGGCCCTGGGCGAGCGGCTCCAGGGCGTCAAAGATGCGCTTTGCGATGCTGCAGGTCGCGTCAAGGAGCGCATTGCGCGGGGCGGCGCTGAATCGCTGGGGGAACGTGTCTCTTGCGGTTTAAAACTTGCGCGTTCTGTTCATGGCGGTCGGTTTTATAGCGCTGAGAAGGCGGCCCGTGGATGCCCGTTCCTGGGTAGGTTTTTTGACGTGGAGCTGTGCAACTGGAGTGATAGAGCTGGTTTTGATCTTCATTTGGCAAGTCCGATGAGCTATATATATATATATACATATATATATATATATATATGTATGTCCCAAGCGAGAGGCCGAGCTTGCGCGATCTATTGAGAGGGCCAAGGCAGACATTGCTGACGCGAAGCATGCTGCTGCCACCCAGCGAGTCCGCGACTATTCGCTCGCCTGGCGGTCGAGCTGCCGCAGGATCAGCATGCAGCAGATTGCCGATGTAGACGGCCAGCATTATCCAGATGGCCCAGTATGCGCAGAGATTCTCGCTAAGCATTGGAGCCGATTTTTTTCAAGGCGCAACTGCATCCGATGAAGGTATATCTGATATTTGTTTTGAGATCGTTCCTATTCCCACACATGGGTACCATTATAGTGCCAATGCTCAGTCTCTGTGTCCGCGGGTGGTTCCTGAGAGCGTTTTCATGGATATTCTAAATTGGAAGAAAGACATTGCTCCTGGCCCAGACGGGGCCCCCGATGCTGCCTGGAAGTGCGCCGGGGAGGTGGTCAACCTATATTATACCAGGCGCGCCTCAGGCCGACGCAGGC